ACTCCGAACACCCTCGGGGGAGTGCGGGACCCATGCAAAATGGCTCCTGCGTCCCTGGGATCGAGCAGCAGGACGGGCTCCACGAGGGGTTCCCCGAGAGGGAAAACTCATACCCAAATGTCGGTGGACCTGGCAGCGATCTCCGCAAATATGCTGACTAGGAGTGACAAGACGGCATTAGTAGCCAAGCTCAGAGCAGCTATCTGTGAAGAGATCACAGCGGTGCGGAGAGACCTTGCGGTTCTGAAGCAGAGGGTCGATGACCTGGAGGAATACCGCATGCAGACTACTCACCACCTACAGGCAGCTGACTTGGCGGCCTCACTGCAGGGTAACAAACTCCTCGACCTCGGACGTCAGGTGGAGGACCTCGATAATCGGGGCCGCCGCAACAACATCCGCGTGAGGGGCAAGCCGGAGTCTGAACGGGAATCACCCAGGGAGCTCCTCACCTGACGTCGGACCACATTCTGGGAGAAGAAGCACCGATGGAGGTCGGTCTACCTAGAGACCTTATATGCTACCTTCAGTCATTCCAAGTCAAGGACGCCATAATGAGGGCAGCCAGGACGCAACGCACAATCCGCTATGGAGATGCTCACATCTCATTATACCAAGACCTATCAATGCTGACCTTGATGCCCGCAGAGCCTTGAAACCACTCACAAGCCTCCTGCAAGAGAAACGGATACCGTACAAGTGGGGGTTCCCGTTCAGTCTACAAGTCAAGGTTGATAACCAATGGCATGTGCTGCGCTGGCCTAACGAAATCCCTGCAAGCTGTGGGCCTCCCGGCCATACCCATCCAGAATTGGATTCTGGACTGCCCGCCGGCCCGACCGACTGGCCCCGTCGTCCCAGCCGAAAACATCTCATCTGAAGTGCCATCAGGACCTCGCCGATGCCAGGGAAAAAAAAACTCTGCCCTGGGAGTCTTGGGGGGATCCAGCTGCTGACCTAGTGGTAAGTGGGCAGGAGGCCCGCACGCGGAGTCCGGAGGCAGTGAGCCAAGGGCGTTCGGGGATGGTACGCTTGAGATATGGAGGCTGTATAGGCTATGTTATTGTATATGATGTTTCTATTCAGTTGCAAGTTTTTAGGGTGAGCGACGGACGGACAGACCTGGCCCACGGATGGACCCAGAGCGCGTGGTGGGACTGGACGCTCGGGATGACGCATCCGCGAATTATCCATAGAGGCGACAGACCGAGACCGTTGACACCCCACCTGGTAACCTTGGGACGTTGAATGTGGAGTAGGCCTGAGGGAATTAGGATGTGGGAAAGCCCACCCAGTTATGACCCTAGACAACCTCGAAATGGTAGCTAGCCACTCACATGAGATAAGGGGCCACCTGCTCAGAGCAGGTACTCCCCTACATCTGGGACTTAATGCACTAGACACCCCCACCAGCGGGTTGGGTGACCTGGGAGACGGTCATTGACGGACATTCCACGTACGTGCGACGGACGCCACATGTGGCTTTTACTGCACTCCAAGCAACAGACCTTCTTTGTACATATAGGTCGGAGCCCGGAAGGTCCGTAGCTTAGTGACCGCCGGACATTACCCCCGACTGAGGTTAGACGTTGCATTTACTTGCCCTTTCCCATATTGGCCCCGCCCTTCTTTGCTCTCTCTGGCCCCTCCCACTCTCTCCCACCCTTGCCGTCTGACGGGTTTCTGGGTGCTCTGGGGGGGGGACCTGGGACCCGGGGCCATGTCGCGTATGCGCCCGGCGCAGGTTAAGCTGTGTTCGAACAATGTTAGGGACCTCAACGTTCCGGAGAAACGTTCCCAGCTGCTCCGCCAACTCTGGGCAGAGAGGGTGTCCATGGCGTTCTTGCAGGAAAAGCACTTCGTGAGCTGTGCCCATCCCAAACTCGAAAACAACCGTTTCCCACAGGGGTATTACGCCTGTCACCCGGACGTCAAGAAAACGGGCGTCGCAATCCTCTTCGCGCACTCGATACCATATCAACACAAAGAGACGTTTACAGACCCGGGTGGGAGATACATATTCCTCAAGGGCACCATAGCAGATCATGCCTACACATTTGCCTGTATATATAGCCCGAACCGAACACAACTCACTTTCCTGGCCAAAACACTGTCCAAACTAGAACAGTTTAGGGAGGGACTAGCAGGGGACCTGAATATGCCACTAGACCCACGCTTAAACTCCTCGGGGGGCATCAGTGCCATACCCACACACTGCCTACACAAGGCCCGGCGAGCCCTGAACACAGTGGGGCTGGTTGACTGCTGGAGAGCAACCCACCCTGATGATAGGGATTATACCTACTATTCGCCCACACACAAGCAGTACAGCCTCATTATATCTTTATGCCACAGGAATACCTGACACAGCTACACGACGCTAACATAGGGAATATGCGCCACTCGGACCATGCCCCAGTTTCGATGCAAATGAGCTCCCCTTTATTTAAACCCGCGGAACGCCAATGGAAGCTTAATGAAACGCTGTTGACCGACCTAGGCGCACGCACCATGGCTCAATAACTTATCACCCAATACTTCGACACAAACGACACCCCTGACATGCCCTCTTTGACGGTATGGGAAGCCCATAAGTGTTTACTTCGGGGACACTTTATTTCCGTCAGTACAAGATGCAAGAAAGAAAAGGCGCGCCGCATCACAGACCTAATGAAGACGATCGCAACCCTGGAGCATGCCCACAAGCAGACCCTGGATGACGACACCTACCTCCAACTGACAGAAGCTCGCAGAGCACTCAGGGACCACCTCTCCCAAGGACATCTACACACCTTGCGGAAATCGGCCAGGTTTTTCTACGAATACTCTAACAAGAGTGGCAGGCTCCTGGCCAAGATGCTCTGGGCGCAGAGGAGGACCCACCATATCCACAAGATCCACACACAAGATGGCAGTATCAACAGCCTGCCTAACGGAATTATGGAAGCCTATCGGACCTACTATATGGACCTCTACAACTAAACGCAGGCCACATGGGGTGCCTCGGACCAGATACGGCGCAGGAGAATCTCTGACTACCTGGCGCACAACGTAACAAGCTAACGCCGGAACTCGCGGAGGACCTGGAAAGCCCCCTGACTCTGGAGGAGCTAGCCACAGCACTGAAAAAATCAAAACCACACCGGGCCCCAGGACCCGATGGCCTACCACTCGCATACCTACGGACGTTCCGCGACACGCTCCTACCGCGCCTCCTGGCGGGCCTGAACTCCATACCGGACACAGGGAGCTTCCCCACGGACTCCCTAGCGGCAACAATCACGGTAATCCCCAAAGAGGGCAAGGGCCCAGCCAATTGCGCAAGTTATAGGCCCATCTCATTATTGAATGCCGACTTGAAGCTCTTCACGAAGGCCCTATCCCTGAGACTAGCCCGGATCATGCCAGACCTCATCCACCCGGACCAGGTGGGTTTTATTCCGGGCAGAGAGTTTTTATACGGGCACTCAATGTTATTCACGCCGCCAGAACGTCCCACCGAGCCACTGTACTCCTCTCGACGGACGCCGAAAAGGCGTTCGATCGAGTCGACTGGGTGTTCATGGCTGAAACGATGCGGCATATGGGCTTCGGGCCCTACATGTGCGCCTGGGTCTCTGCATTATACATCACACCAACAGCGAGGATCCGAGTCAACGGGGCCCTGACGAAAACCTTTCCCATCGGCAATGGGACCCGGCAGGGCTGCCCCCTGTCCCCCCTCCTGTTTGCCCTCACCCTGGAGCCATTCCTGGAGGCGATCAGATGGGACGGGGGCATAACGGGGGTCAGGGTGGGCGGTGAGGAGCACCGGGTGGCGGCGTACGCTCTTTTTTATGGAACAACCCATGATATCGGTACCTAACCTGCTACGTGCATTCGACGCTTGCGGCCAAGTATCAAATCTGAAACTAAACCTGGACAAGTCCGAAGCCATGTTGCGAACACAGAATGCAGGACTCGCCGACCGCCTCAGCTCCCAATTCTCATTAGCCTGGCGTGCAACAAAAATCCGCTACCTGGGCACCTGGCTGCCGAAGGACCTCACCCAACTGTACCAGCTAAACTTCCTCCATATCCTCTCGACCATACAACAAGATCTAGCAAGGTGGTCAGGGCTGTATATCACGAGGTTCGGTCGCACCATTGCAATCAAGATGAATATCCTCCCGAGACTACTCTACCTGTTCGCGACCCTACCCACGAGGATCCCACAAGCATTCTTCAGATCGGCAGCAACGGCCATTCGCAAGTTTGTGTGGAACCAGCGACCAATGCGCATCCGTAAGGCGACCCTGGAGCGCCCTAAGGCAGCGGGTGGAGTGAGGCTGCCGTCTCTACTCGCCTACTACCAAGCAGCTCACCTGCACAGAATTGTCGATTGGCACGCCCACCCGAGCCCCAAACGCTGGGTGGCAATGGAGACGAAGCATGCGCAGGGCAACATCCTGTCCAGACTTTGGCTCGGAAGAGCCACTTACACAGATCTACAAACAAACAAATTCCATAATAGACGACACACTGAGAGTCTGGTGCAAGTTGCGCTACGCCCGACAACTGACAACTTCCCCGAACCCCCTAACTCCCATCACATATAACCCCGGCCTGGCTGGGGGACTACACCCGGCGGCCCTTAAACGTTTCCACACAACAGACTGGAACTATATGCACCAGTGGAGTGTGGGAGGCGAGCTCCGATGCCTACCGGACCTGCTGAGAGACCAGAAAAAATTGTGCGTTAAAATGAACCAAATTGTCTCACGCAAAAAAGGCCCAAAATTTTGATCCAAAGTCTTATCTCCCTCCTGATTGTTCCTCACAGCTTCTTAACCCTGATTGTGATCTATGATTGAGTATAGTGAACTTACGTCTAGTGTTACCCAGATATAGTCTCTATGCCATTCAATGGAATCCAACTCTTGTAGTAGATGTTTAGTGTCTTTCAGGTATGATCTGGCAGATTGTGCGTATTTCTGCAGTGAGTGATCTATAAATTGAGACAATTTAGATGTGAGGGTGTCAATCCCACTTATTATTGGTCTACCGGGTGGGTTTGTTTTGGATTTGTGTACCTTCGGAAGAAAATAGAAAGTCGGAATTCTGGGATGTTCTTGTAAAAGGAATTGATAGATATTAATGTCAATTATATTATTTTCCTTAGCTTTTTCCAGTAAAATCTTTAATTCATTCTTAAAAGGTACATTTGGGTTTAGGGTAAGTTTGATATATGTGGTGCTGTCCCCCAATAGTCTATATGCTTCTCTCAAATAGAAGACTACGTACATGACCACTATGCCACCCCCTTTATCTGAATTTTTTATAACTATATGTTCTCTTTTTTTCAATTGGTTAAGGGTTTGCATTTCCTCTCTGGTCATATTATTGCAATGTTCTTTTTTACTGGAAGCTGGATCCTGTACTTGGGCCCAGGATGGGTGGAGAACAACGAGACCCCAACCAAGCTGTAACGCTGGCTGTGGGATTTATGGTGGTTATGGTGTCTGGTGCAATGCTTCTGGTACTCACGGATTATTAGGAAGTAGCAATTGGCGGAGGCACCTGGTCGTGGTGCCAGGCAGTCTGTCACAGTGAGTCTCTTTCTTCTGTGACAGTTATGTTTTTTTTGTTTTTTTTTATATCTCATCACTTTAAAATACTTTATTGTAAATTGTCCACTCTGGTTTTATAGATAGGGGTATTTCTTACCTTCATGGGTATTGATTTTGCACAAGAATTCAATGGAAATTGCACTTTATATCAAGACGCTTGGCTTAAAACCTAGAGTAATTGTGAGATTAATGTTTTCACTCACAGATTTTATTTATTTTGTTTTATTTAAATTTTTTCAAAATATAATTTATTTATTACATAGTTACATAGCTGAAAAGAGATTTGCGTCCATCAAGTTCAGCCTTCCTCACATTTGTTTTTTGCTGTTGATCCAAAAGGAGGCAAAAAAACCCAGTTTGAAGCACAATTTTGCAACAAGCTAGGAAAAAAATTCCTTCTTGATCCCAGAATGGCAGTCAGATTTATCCTTGGATCAAGCAGTTATTACCCTACATTGAAAGATTATATCCTTGATAGTGATGTACCGAACGGTTCGCTGGCGAACGGTTCCTGGCGAACATAGCATGTTCGCGTTCGCCACGGCGGGCGAACATATGCGCGGTTTGACCCGCCCCCTATTCGTCATCATTGAGTAAACTTTGACCCTGTACCTCACAGTCAGCAGACACATTCCAGCCAATTAGCAGCAGACCCTCCCTAGCAGACCCTCCCACCTCCTGGAAGGCATCCATTTTAGATTCATTCTCAAGCTGCGTGCTTAGTAAGAGGAGGGAAAGTGTAGCTGCTGTTCATAAGATAGGGAAAAGCATAGCTAGGTTAGGGATAAGGGTATGCTTTTTTTAATTTTATTTTTCTATGTAATGTAAATGCACTTAGTTGTCTGCCACTGCTGCCAGCTTCTGTGTCAGGCTCACAGTGCCCATTTCCCCAGTCAGTGCCACCAATTACATCTGGTGTCACAATAGCTTGGATTTAAAAACAAAAAACTTTTTTCACTGTTATAGATTGAATAGCAGTCAGTTGTCTGCCACTGTTGCCAGCTTCTGTGTCAGGCTCACAGTGCATACTGTGCCCATTTCCCCAGTCAGTGCCACCACCACTTACATCTGGTGTCACAATAGCTTGGATTTAAAAACAAAAAACTTTTTTCACTGTTATAGATTGAATAGCAGTCAGTTGTCTGCCACTGCTGCCAGCTTCTGTGTCAGGCTCACAGTGCATACTGTGCCCATTGCCACCACTTAGATCTGGTGACACAAAGCTTGGATTTAAAAACAAAAAACACTGTTTTCACTGTTATAGATTGAATAGCAGTCAGTGTCCTTAAAGCGGGTGTGTTACGCTAACAGTGGATACGGTGACCAGTGCCACCACTTAGATCTGGTGACACAAAGTTTGTATTTAAAAACAAAAAACACTTTTTTCACTGTTATAGATTGAATAGCAGTCAGTGTCCTTAAAGCGGGTGTGTTACGCTAACAGTGGATACGTAGACCAGTGCCACCACTCACTGGTGTCATAATAGCTTGGATTTAAAAACAAAAAACTTTTTCCACTGTTATAGATTGAATAGCAGTCAGTGTTCTTAAAGCGGGTGTGTTACGCTAACAGTGGATACGGTGCCCAGTGCCACCACTCACTGGTGTCATAATAGCTTGCATTTAAAAACAAAAAACTTTTTTCACTGTTATAGATTGAATAGTAGTCAGTGTCCTTAAAGCGGGTGTGTTACGCTAACAGTGGATACGGTGACCAGTGCCACCACTTAGATCTGGTGACACAAAGTTTGTATTTAAAAAAAACAAAACACTTTTTTCACTGTTATAGATTGAATAGCAGTCAGTGTCCTTAAAGCGGGTGTGTTACGCTAACAGTGGATACGTGACCATTGCCACCACTTAGATCTGGTGACACAAAGCTTGTATTTAAAAAAAACCAACCACTTTTTTCACTGTTATAGATTGAATAGCAGTCAGTGTCCTTAAAGCGGGTGTGTTACACTAACAGTGGATACGGTGACCAGTGCCACCACTTAGATCTGGTGACACAAAGCTTGTATTTCAAAACAAAAAACACTTTTTTCACTGTTATAGATTGAATAGCAGTCAGTGTCCTTAAAGCGGGTGTGTTACGCTAACAGTGGATACGGTGACCATTGCCACCACTTAGATCTGGTGACACAAAGCTTGTATTTAAAAACAAAAACACTTTTTTCACTGTTATAGATTGAATAGCAGTCAGTGTCCTTAAAGCGGGTGTGTCAGCCCTACAGCGTGTACTCTGCCAGTTTACAGTGCCACTCATATCATACCACCAGAATGCGGTCATTGCAGAGCTCTGCAGTGTGGCATTTTTTGTGTGTGTCTGCCTCTGACAACAGCGATGCCATTTGCAACCTGTGCCAAAAGAAACTGAGTCGTGGGAAGTCCAACACCCACCTAGGTACAACTGCTTTGCGTAGGCACATGATCTCACATCACAGACGCCTATGGGATCAACACATGAGTACAAGCAGCTCGCCTACTCTAAGCCGCCAGCCTCCTCCTGGTCCAGCATCTTCAGCCACGTCAACCACTGCTGTCCTCCTTGTCCCCTCTCAACCATCCGCCACTCCGCCTCCCGCCTTGAGCAGTTCACGCTCATCTTCCATAACCTCCTCGACTGAGTCCTGTTCTGCTGCTCTTGCTCCACATCAACGGATACGGGGCGTAACAGTGATTAAACTGATAACAATAGTACTAAAGCACACCACTCCTATCTGGTGGCACATTAGATTGCACGCTCCACATCAACGGCACCCCCCCAGCTCCCCAGGTACTATTCCACATCCCGGATACGGCAGTGTCACGCCGTCTTGGGTTTGACTTGCTTGAAAGCAGAGAGTCACACCGGACAAGCACTCCTGTCCGCCCTGAACGCACAGGTGGAAAAGTGGCTGACTCCGCAGCGACTGGATATCGGCAAAGTGGTTTGTGACAACGGAACAAATTTGTTAGCGGCATTGAAGTTGGGTAGTTGTCACATGTGCCGTGCATGGCACGTGTGTAATCTGATCGTACAACGCTTTGTGCATAAGTACACAGGCTTACAGGACGTCCTGAAGCAGGCCAGGAAGGTGTGTGGCCATTTCAGCGTTCCTACACGGCCATGGCTCACTTTGCCGATATCCAGCGGCGAAACAACATGCCAGTGAGGCGCTTGATTTGCGACAGCCCGACACGTTGGAATTCAACACTCCTAATGTTCGACCGCCTGCTCCAACAAGAAAAAGCCGTTAATGAATATTTGTATGACCGGGGTGCTAGGACAGCCTCTGGGGAGCTGGGAATTTTTTTGCCACGTTACTGGACGCTCATGCGCAATGCCTGTAGGCTCATGCGTCCCTTTGAGGAGGTGACAAATTTAGTCAGTCGCACCGAAGGCACCATCAGCGACATCATACCATTTGTTTTCTTCCTGGAGCGTGCCCTGCGAAGAGTGCTGGATCAGGCCGTAGATGAGCGTGAAGAGGAAGAGTTGTGGTCACTATCACCACCAGAACCAGCCTTATCAGCATCGCTTGCTGGACCTGCGGCAACGCTGGAAGAAGATTGTGAGGAAGAGGAGCCAGAGGAGGAATGTGGCTTTGAGGAGGAGGAGGAAGACCAACCACAACAGGCATCCCAGGGTGCTCGTTGTCACCTATCTGGTACCCGTGGTGTTGTACGTGGCTGGGGGGAAGAACATACCTTCATTGAGATCACTGAGGAGGAGGAACGGGAAATGAGTAGCTCCGCATCCAACCTTGTGCAAATGGGGTCTTTCATGCTGTCGTGCCTGTTGAGGGACCCTCGTATAAAAAGGCTGAAGGAGAACGACCTGTACTGGGTGTCCACGCTACTAGACCCCGGTATAAGCAGAAAGTGGCGGAAATGTTACCGAATTACAACAAGTATGAAAGGATGCAGCATTTGTAAAATAAATTGAAAAGTATGCTTTACACAGCGTATAAGGGTGATGTCACAGCACAACGGGAATCTAACAGGGGGAGAGGTGGAAGTCATCCTCCCCCTCCCATGACCACGCCGGCAAGGACAGGACGCTTTAGAGACGTGTTGTTGATGGAGGACATGCGGA